TGTACTGCTATGCAAGATTTGTATATGTTCTTGCATAGCTGAAATAGGCTCTATTGTTTCGGGACATTGAATCCTCCATGTATCACGAGGACAAAAAGAAGAGCAATTTTTTAATATAGAATTAAATGCATCGATATGAATATCTTCCAACCACGTATTATTTTGTTTTACAATATTTATATCGTAATTTGATAATTTTATTATATTTTTAATTACCATTTTATTATTTTCTGTATTTTTTTCAATTAAATAAAAATAAAAATATAATTGAAGTACTTACTTGATCCTGTACTTACTTTGTAACTACCGCCAACTATCGCATCAACTGCCAACCCGACTCCTTTAAAAAATGTAAAATTTAAAACAATACTAAAATTATAAACATTATTTAAAAGTACTATGACACGAAACTTGTAGAGAATATGAAATTAAGAAAAGAGACATGTTATATAAATTAAAATATTTATATATATATATATAATTTATATAAAAATATATATATAATTGTATAATTAAATAAAGCTCGATTAAAAAGTAAAGTTATCGTCCGATCGCTGAAGTTAACTAATGCTTGAACATGATCAATATTTAGATGGGTGACCGCTTGGGAGCATTATTATTTTGTATAATAATATATAATCATATATATTTATATATATTCTTATATATATATATATATATATATATATATGTCAATTGGCTATTTTGACGACATCAAAAAATCGAACATTTTATTGTATACATAAGAGTACATCGACTCCCTGACGTATACATTAGTTAGATTAGATTAGATTAGATATATTTATTGCCGCCCCAATTGGGGATTACAAGGCGCTTTTTTTTAAAGGAGCGTTCCCAAACCTTTATTCCTTCCTTTACCCTTTTTCCTTAGCCTAAACTTATACCTAAAACTTAATCTAATTACATATTTTTCGCCACGCCTCTCCTCTTCGCCGCCTTTCTCATCTTTTCTCGCATTTCTGCCCTACCTACACACACACACACGTCCGCCTTTCCCTAACCTTTCTTATTCTAAATTATCTTAACCTACGCAATCTTACATTCTACTTAGCCTATGTTGGACCTCCGCTTCCGGTTACCGTTATTCTTCCACTCCTTTCCTCTCCCTCCCTCTCTCTCTCTCTCTCACACTCACTCACACACTCATCCCCCCTCTCTCTCTCCCCTTATCTCCTACCCTCTCTCACCCCCCTGTCCTCCTTTTTCCTCCTTCTCCTTCTCCCCCCCTTTCCCTCTTGCTTCCTCTAACCTTTTTAACCATATTTCCCCTTCCCCCTCCTCTCCTAATATCTCCTTTACCATTTCCTGCCAGCTCTCTTCCCTTCCCCAATCCATACATTCCTCCCACACATGCTCCCACGTCTCTAACCCTCTCCCACATATCCTGCATTCCTATCCTCCTCCTTTTCCCAATACCTATTTCCCTTCATTTCATTCCCAGTCTGTACCTTGCCATCCTCCTCCATCTACCTTCCGCCCACCCTTTCTTCAAATAGCCCGGAATCCCCTCCCCTTTAATCTGTTTGTACCACTTATTATATTCCGATTTTATCATTTTTCCTACCCTCTCCTCCCTCTGTTCCTTTCCTTCCCATTCCTCAACTTCTTCCCATCTGAACTCCTCCTTTTCCCTTCTTTCCTCTATCTCCCTTAATCCCATCCCCTTACCCTCAAAAAATTCCCTTCTTTCTCTCTCCCACCCTGACAATTCCCCTCCTTTTTTTGCCCTTTCTTTAATCTCCCCCAAACATATTCTCGCCAACCATCCTCCCTTACCCTCCTCTAACCTTCTCTCATATCCCCATGCTCTTCTTCCCATCCTTGTCCTTATCTTTTCCCTTTGCAATTCCTCCCTTACCATATATCCAGGCGTTCCCCAATCCACTCCTAACATCCATCTCAGATACCTTTCTTGTATCCTTTCCAATCCCTCTCTCTCTTCCCATCCCCATATCTCCATCCCGTATCCTAAAACCGTCCATACTAACGCATCGAAGAGCCACAACCTCCTCCCCCAGTTATTCCCAAATCTCCTCTTACCTATTCCCCATACCTGTCCCATAATTGCTGCCCCTCTCTTTATTCTGTCCCTTACCTGTCCCTCTTGCCCCCCATTCCTTTGAATCACATATCCTAAATACTTGTACTCCTTTACCTCCTCTAATTTTTTCCCTTCCAAAACCAACTAGCCTTTTTTAACCTCCCTCCCCCCCTTCTGCATCTCATCACCTTCGACTTCTTCTCATTCAGTTCCAGTTCCCTTCCCCTCCAGATATCTCCCTAACCTCTCCATCATACACCTCATCCCCCCCTCATCTTCTGCCAACAGCACCACGTCATCCGCGTACGCTAATGTATAGACCTTGCCCTCTCCTAATCTCACACCCCCCCATCTCCCTTTCTTCATTTCCTCCTCCAAGTCCGCCATCAACATGTTAAACAGAAGCGGGCTCAGTGGGCATCCCTGTCTCACCCCCCTCCCCGTCCAAAACTTCTCCCCCACCTCCTCCCCCGTATACATTAGTTATAATTTTGTAATAAAATGAACTGGTACATATGTATAAGCAATTAAGTATAAAACCATTAGTACAGCGACAGTACAAAATTATGTACAACACATTGTACTATTTGACTATTATAACGACACCACTAATTTCTATAAAACGGTTGTTTTAACGACACTCCAAAAATAAGTTGAAAAATCTTTTTGAATAGCAATCATTTATCAAATTTTTTCAACTTTTTAATCATATTTTCGTATATACTAAAGAATGTCATATAATTTAAAATTAATTATTACTATCGGAAAAGCGATAAACGATTTTTGGAGCTTTCATTGGATTCTCGAGGCTATAGATGTGATGTAATAGTAATATTGGCTCAAAATTCAACCGTCTAATTGAAATTGACTTTTCGTTTAAAGAAATTTATAGGATTTCACAATATATGAAACCCTTATTGTTAGAACAAATTTTTTAAGCAAGAAGTTAATTATTCGATTGACATTATGTATTTTGTTATAATTTATTCGAGTATTATTTTGCTTTGATTTATTAATATTTATAATTTGTTTTTAAGTAAATTTAAGTTGTGTTTTACTTGTAATACGCAAAATCAGCTGGATATCGATTCTGTAACTTTTTCTAAAGTGAAAACGTGAAAAGTAAAAAATTTCCGCCAATCGTACATCGATTTCATTTTAAAATCAATGCGTGATTGGCGAGAATTTTTCACTTTTCACATTTTCACTTTAAAAAAAGTTACAGAATCGATATCCTGGTGCAAGGAAGTGAAATCAGTTGAAACGATAGGACGATTTTTTAGTCTTTTCGTAGTTATTTTCAAGTTAGATATTTCGTCATCATGCGTTAACAAGAACGGATGCAATACCGAGCGTTTTCTTTATAAACCTTGTTTTTGAGTGCTATAAAAAGTTTATAGAAATATCAAATTATTAATGTTTTTTTAGTTGGAGTTAATAGGTGACAAGTGTTAGATGTATAAAATATTTATTTTTGTTTTTTGTATATACATAAATACATTAACGCACAAGAAAAGCTAGATTAGTGATGTACTGCTGTAATGTTGAAATTGACGTCTGTAATTCGAAGTTGTTAAATAGATTTCTATGTGTCTACATTTTTCTTTGATATATATACATAGTCTGTATTAATTATTATAGACATTTAATTATTGTAATTTTTTCTTAAGATGGTGCAGGGAGAAGACAGAACAATATGTGGTTAAATAAAATCGATTTTATATGAAAATCTCATGTATTTCGTAGAGAATATATGAAGTAAAAATATGTAAATAACAGTAATGAAACTAAATGTTATGTATATAACTGTATCTTTGGTTGTACAGGTTTATTCATATAGCATTTGATAATGATATGTGACATATGGTAATAATATTTGAACATTTTTTTTGTTTTTCTGAATGTTTTTTATAATAATTCTACATAGATAAAGAATATGTGAACAAAGTTGAAATATTCACAATTTCAATTAGTTTTAAAAAAGAAACGTATATATTGTATACATTAAAATGACAAAGTTAATATGTTGAAGAAAAAGGGTTATCGCCTATAATCTTTTCGTAAAGTGTTACGTTACATTAAGTATTTACTTTAGACTTAACTTGTACATAATCTTAAACTTTAATCAACGCACACAAAAATCGTAATGATAAGATCAGAACTTAACGTAATTTAACATAACGATTTTTGTGCTTTGACTAAAGTTTGAGATTATGTACTGACAATGAGTAAAGTCTAATGAATAAAAGGTTAGTACTTAACGTAACGTAACGCGTTACAGAAAAGCTTGTGCGGTGGTTCAAAGAAATACATAAAAATCTTAATTATAACGTATTAATATAGTGTAATATAAAATTTTGTGTTCGATTTTAATAATCTGAAAACATTAATATGTGTTTATAATACCACTAATCATACAAAGAAAAATGTGATAAATATATAGTAAGACGAGAGAAAATGATAATTGTACAACAGAATGGTAACTAAAATCATTGCTTATAATGTATGTAGAACTTATTTTAAGTAATTACTTATTCATTTTTATGACAATACAAAATTTGATATCTTTTTCTTTCTCTCTCTCTCTAGTTATAAATAAGGAAACTTAATACTCTCGACTTCAGCAAAAATAATAGAACCTTGATACATCACTCATGTTTACTTTGACTATATAAAGCAACATCCTTAAAATTAAATTTAAATCCTTAAACGTTTAGCGATAATACAAATGATAAATAATATGTAATTAATTAATTAACATAACATAAGAGATATTATACCATACTAACTAATCTATAATAATCAAATTGTAATTAATTCAAGATATCACTATAATTAGTTGTTTGTTGGCTAATCCGTTTATTGTAATTATTTTTATAATCTTTTGTAAGGATATCGAAAATTATCAGTTTTGTATTCGATTCATCAAAACACACAGCAATAACAAAACCTTGTTCTAATCAGTAAAATGAAAATGTGTCCTATTTATTTACTATAAAAAATGCTACTTTAATATGTAACAAAGAACTGCACCATTAATAAATTAAATGCAAAATTAATATTTTAAAATTTAGTTAATAAAATCGCCGACGAGTATCACATATCATTTTTTTAGCACAAAAGCAAGTAAAAATCGCATTAGTATCATTGAACATTTAGATTGAAGTGTCTAATATACATTTGTCTTGGAATTTCGCTACTGTTAACATTATAATAAAATAAAAGTTTGTCAGCTTTAATTGCTCTCAATTTGCAACCTTTTCATACATTTTTTCTATATCAAAATTGATTTAATTGCATAAAGTTTTTAAGTTTATGACTTTTGTCACTGCATTTCATACACTGGCTTGACAAATTTACTTGAAAACATCAAAATATATCAAAGACTTATATTAATAATGTTTGCAGAGATGATAGAAACATCACTGTGAAGGTTGCTTTACTGTTTCTGCCTTGTGCTTTGTTGTAAAAAGGAACAGAAGTAATCTATTATTCTTTTATCAATCTCATGATTTTTTAACAAGTTGAGTACTATTCAAGCAGCTATGGAATGTTAAATAAGATACAGCTGAACATCTTCTGGAACATATCACTTTATAAATTCCATCTTGTACTGAATCTGTTCCGTTAAGCATTCTATCCACTTCTCATCGCTGGGTATAGCAATATTCAGGTTCTCTGATTCTATTGAATATATTCAATATATCCGATAATCTAGGTGTATTCAACGTTAATCTTGAGTTGAACGCCTTTACAAAGTTCTCCTAAAATGAGGCAGTGAAACTGAAACTAAAAGATAGAATAAGATTTACTTTGAACATCTATAATGTTGACGAACTAACGCACACATCTATATATTAGCTTATCTAATATACAGATTACTACAGATGTACAAAAACAAAAAGAAAAAGATATTGAATCAGAGTTGTATAGTACATATTAAATTAAAAAGTTATATATTATACAAAAATATAAAGTATTAAATTATATGAATTTTAATTTAAAAATTTAAGATTTAAGTAATATGAAAACATTTTATATTGTTTTTAAAAAAATTCTGATTTTTTACAAGTATTCATAAAATGTTTTGTACGAAATTGCAAACTCTTACACTATTGTTGTTGCAAGGTTTTTTGTTTATTATGCAGCCACGTTTTGATTTGCGGCGATGTACGCCGAGCCAGAGAAATATATTTTTTTTTTACTTCTTGAATCTCTTTTAGAGACGGCAATGTATGATTTTCCATATGTTGTGCAAACGCAGAAAGCACTGCTTCTTTCTCATTTTCTGTCCATCGTACTCTTTTTGTTTTTCCATAAGGAGATGCTAGAGGAGTATAGAGAATATTGTTGAAATAATTTAACAAAACAAAATAAGTATACTATTTGTTATTGACTTTGACATAAGAATAATATGTTGAGTGCTATAATTATACATTCTTATTATATTCCATCTTCAACGATAATAAATTATTTAAATGTTAATACTATTTTATTTTACTTATTTACTTTTAATTTTGAATAGTAATTATAAATAGTTTTAGTATAAATATTGGAAAATGTTATCGGTCATGGAAACAAAACTAAGTTATGTATTTCGGTATAATAAAAAAGGAGCGACAAAAGATAATTATTTGCAGGCACTAATCAAATATGTAATGTTATATTAGAAATATATAAATAAGTATCATTTTAAGAACGAATTAACATAATAATAAAGGAAACTGAATAGTATTGTAATTCGTACAGTTATGGATTGAAAGTAGATATGAAAATTACTTACTACTACGTTTCCGTTTTCCACCTTGTTCATCCGTTTGCTTGTCAGAATTTCTGGAATGATTTGATGTCTCACATAATGAAATATCTACAATAAACAGTAGTTATTAAAACATTTACAAAATTACAATATCATAATATCGTAATGCTCTTATTTTGTTATTATATCATTACAATATTAAAATAATATACAAAAGGAATACTTAGTATAAAATAAATAAGCACCAAAAAAACAAAACCAATTAATAATAATAAATAAACAGTGAAATAATTAATAATGAAAACAATAATGTAAATATAATGTAAATAATGTAAATCTTAATAATATAAACAATGTAGATATTAATGTTATAAATTCTACGTCTTACATAATTTAAGCAAATAACATTACTTATTTCGCCAGTATTATTGTTGTTAACGTCAATTATGTTATCTTCTATTTCAGAATCACTGTCCGATATCGATTCATTATTCGTATTTTGTGCATTTCCTTCCGATACTGCTTCTAAATAGCGGGAGATTTTCAGTATATCTCTGCTTGCTATTGGTTGCCTATAATGATCTCTATGTATTTTATCAGCATGACCCATAAATGTGGCAAGATCCGAAACATCAGTATCATTCAGATTAAATTGAATGCAGTGTGTTGCTATATGTTTTCTTAATGTTGTACCGCGCAAAGTAGTTGATTGACTTGCGTTACATTGTTGGGAAATTTACGCATTAAAACACAGGCCCTCAGGTATTGGTGTCTATTTTTGTCGACAGCAGGTAGTCCAAAAATATAAGGGTTTTTCTTTAATACATTAGCCTCTTCACGATATTTTAAGATTAAAGTGATACAATCAAAGAGCTCATTCGGTAATAAAACAGGCACTGTGCGTCCTAGTTTTCCTCTGATGCAAAATCGGACATATTTCTCTGCAATTTTTCTATCTTCCATTGACAATGATTTATAAATATCACTGTACATATTTTTATTTACTTTTTCATAATTTTCAAAATCTTCTATTAATGCTCGCTCAATTTCTCCTGCTCGTCGTCTATTAAAGACATGTGTTGAAGTTAATGTTACTTCTCCTAAAGAAATCCACTTCTCATATGAAAAGGACTCATTTAATGCTGTATATGCTTCAGTTCTTATTTTCGCCAAATGTGTGTGTAATTTTTTAATATCTTCCAATGACGGGAGATTTATTTTCTTGTGCCTTTTATGTGCAGACTGCGTTTCGAGAACTGTTTTGTTGACACTCGTACCTATATCCACAACTAACAGTTTTAAAAAGTCTTTAACTAATTTTTCTTCTCTCTCTTCTCTTGAGTCTTGATGCATTCCATAATGAAAAGATTTCCTATATGCTTAATAAGTGTTGACAAGTTAGCCGCTACTGCAGGAGTTTTATAAAGTTGTTCTTCATTGTCATATCCTGCAACTACATTAATTGCTGAAATACAATCGTCATATATTTGTGGATGATACAGCGACTGAAAATCTTTTACATTCGTATTTATATCTTTTAATGCTATAAGAAAACGACCTAGTAGACGTAATCGTGCACGAATCATATCATGCTGATGTTGGGATTTGTATTTAACACACAACTTATTTGCATATATGATCAATAATTTGTCATATCTCACAATACGTGTTACTTCATCATCTCGCATAACAGGAAACACTGTTTTTCTTAAACACTACGAATGTATTCTACCAGTGATTTTTCTTCCCATAATCATAATATTTTTATTTTTTCGAAAATCTTTTTTAAGACAAACTCGAGCATGATGACGTATTGTGTTTTTTGCGAAAAATTCTTTACATTTTACACAGGCAACAAAATCTTTAGCAGTCTTATTAGTTTTCTCATTTGGACGTCTGCATACAATTAATTGACCAGTATTAAATTTTGGGTTGGTGTTAAATTTAAAATTACCCATTTTTCGAATAGTATCTATTATTTTTTTCCTTCTGGGTTTCTTTTAGGCAGAATGGCAAATTTTTTTACATTAGGCTCATTAGCATGTACTGTTTCCAAATGTCGTGCAAGCTGTGATTGCAACTTCATACAAAAAGCGCAATAATTTTGTTTCGATTTTATATTAGACTTTTGAACATACATAACTTCATCGTTACATGCTGATGTACCAACAACATTTGTATTTGATGTATCAAAACTGGAAGTGGATAAAATAGTTCTGTTAACAATTGACACTTGCTTTTGAGGAGATTCGTTATTTAAAGAACTGTGTTCTGAAGGTATATATTCTGAATCTTCATCATCACTTTCATTCTTATCATTATCTAATATAAAAAAAACAAAGAAATTATATAACTATGAACAAAGGACATAACTCACATATCATTGAAAAACTAAAGCACACAATATTTGCATGTCAATGTATATATTACCAAAAGACAAAAAATAATGTTTGAAGTAGGTAATAGAGATAATAAAATTTATTTATTTTAATTTTAATTCAAATATAGAATTAATAAATCAAGAAAAGTAGGCCAAAACTACGAGCCAAAGTAATTTAGATGTAAAAAAAATTAAACATAATTTATTTATAATAAAAAGTATACGTTTCGATTTTACTAGGTCTTTCTCAATACAAAAGTAGTTTGTTCAAATATAGAGCACAATATTGCACGAATTACATTACTTAAATTTATAATTAGTCTTGCAAAAGTATATATTTATAATTAGTCATTATAATTAGAATCTCTAAAAGTTTATATAAAATTAATGAAACAAAATTATTGCCGCTTTTTGCATGAAGTTGCAATCGCAGCTTGTACATTATATGAAAATAATAACGAACTTGATGTAAAACAGTAGCAACTCAATGTTATAAGAATTATATCCATTAATATATATAATATTATATATGTACGTATATGTATATCAATTATATACATAATATTGTGAAATTTGTTAATTAAAAATGTACGTCAAAAATTATTTATAAAGAAAAAAAAAACATAACTACATACTATAAGACACTGGCGCAGCAACAATTTCTGGATCTGGCACATCATCTCGGCAAGGAGATAACATGCTTACACGTCTTGCATCAGTTTCTGTATGATTTATTGAAGATATAAAAAGAGATAAGTGTAAATAACATAAAATAATCCATGTTTACAAGATTATACTTTAAACAAATTTAAAATGTCAGTTTATAAATACTTCATAAAACTTTATCAAATTGTATTACTGTGTTATATTTATTTTTGTTTTATGTCTAAAATTTTATCATTTCTTATGTATATTTGAAACTACAAAATCTGTTTTTTTTTTAAATTTATATAAGTATAGATACAATCTTTTATCTCTAAACAAATATAAATATACACAAACATTATTAATATTAATATTAATAATAATATTAATATTGTTTAATAATATTAATAGTTATAATATTGTTTGTTTATGTCTGGGCAAAAAAACGGCGTTATTTAGTTAAAAGGCAACAAAGTGAAGTATTGTTTCGGAAGATCTGAATAGCTTGGTTATAAGAGCAGTCGCTTGGAAAGCGAAAGACTCGGGTTCGATTCCCAATTCAACCAACTTTCAGACCGATATTTTTCTCGTCTACAGCTTTACAGAGGGGTTAATGGAAAACATGAGAATTAGAGATCTAAATCAAAGATACTATTCCCAATTAGCAGAACAATTAATTTTCGCAATAACCGACGCAAAAGACATCGTATTAGGCTCCTGCAGCTGATATATTTATAATATTATTATATAAACATTAATGTTTATATTTTAATTTAAGTGGTTGTCTATTACTTTCATGATATGCTTATATATATATATATATATATATAAATTTTATTGCATTTATTTCTTATTTTTTATAATTTGTGTATATTTATATTTTGTTTATGAGTTTATACTTATTTATATAAAAATAATTCAATTTTTACATACCAGTCATATTGAAACTTAATCTCCTAACACACTCATTGATTCTAATAGATCCATTAAATGAATCTGCAAACAAAACATGAGATTAGATAAACAGGGACAAATACGTTCATTCAACAGTGCAATAAAAAATTGCATATTATTTATAGTATAAAATATGAAACTTAATATTTGAAATTTAATTCTAACAGTATTGCATACCAGATAAAGAAATATTTGCCTCTGCTGCTTCAATATTATCATTCATGAAAAAGTTACTTGGCATGACAGTTTCAATGCTCTCATTTTCATCTGTAAAGATTATTGTGCCAATATCTGAAACAATATATATAAAAAAATATTTCATACAGATAATAAAATAGTGCTTAGAAATATAACTGATAACATTATCTAAACTAACCAAAATTTACTGGGAGATCTGTAATCTCTTGATAATCACAGTTGTCAATAATTACGGGAATTTCATCTTCTTTTATGTCATATCCTTTATTCTTCGCATTTAAAAGCGTCGGTTTATGGTGACAATCTAAAATAATGAAAAAGTATTATAATCTAACACATAGAATACCATATATGCTGCATTGTGTCATTGCTGGAAAGAACCCAATGTGTATTTGACAATTTAAAAAAAAACAAAATTAAATAAAAGAATGTATTATTATTTATATGTATTTTATTATTATATTAAAAGATATTAAGTATACAAATAATTAAAGATAAAGATATTTGTCAGTTTCTAAATAATTGCAAATATGCACATTTACCAGCATTTGATGTAACATTGATTATCTTCTCATTACAATCTTTGTTTGACACAGATTCAATATTTTTATCTCTTTCATCCATAGACATTATCATGTCAGATGCACCAATATTTAATGAAACATCATATTTTTAGTAATAGACTCTTTGTTTAGTATCACAGACTCATTGCCTTTGTTTTTATTTATAAGACTTATCGAATTAATATCTGCAAGAGAAGAAATACATGATTATGTGACATACATGCGATAAAATAAGCATTACAAACATCATCCATATGAGCTAAACCAAATAATTGAGAACGTGCACATTTACCAGTATTTGATGTAGCATCGGTCATCTCCTCATTAGAATCTTTATTTGGTACAGATTCATTATTTTTATCCCTTTCATCCATAGACATTATCATGTCAGATGCACCAATATTTAATGAAACATCAATATTTTTAGTAATAGACTTCTTGTTTAGTATCACAGACTCATTGTCTTTGTTTTTATCTATAAGACTTATTGAATTAATATCTGCGAGAAAGAAATACATGATTATGTGACATACATGCGATAAAATAAGTATTACAAACATCATCCATATGAGCTAAACCAAATAATTGAGAACGTGCACATTTACCAGTATTTGATGTAGCATCGGTCATCTCCTCATTAGAATCTTTATTTGGTACAGATTCATTATTTTTATCCCTTTCATCCATAGACATTATCATGTCAGATGCACCAATATTTAATGAAACATCAATATTTTTAGTAATAGACTCCTTGTTTAGTATCACAGACTCATTGTCTTTGTTTTTATCTATAAGACTTATCGAATTAATATCTGCGAGAGAAGAAATACATGATTATGTGACATACATGCGATAAAATAAGTATTACAAACATCATACATATGAGCTAAACCAAATAATTGGAAATGTGTACATTTACCAGTATTTGATGTAACATCAGTCAACTTCTTATTACAATCTCTGTTTGACACATCTTCATTATATTTATGGTTTTCATCCATAGACATTATCATGTGAGATTCTCCGATATTTAATGAAATATCAATGTTTTTGGTAATACACTCCTTGTTTAGTATCACAGACTCATTGCCTTTGTTTTTATCTATTAGACTTATCGAATTAATATCTGTGAGAGAAGAGATACATGATTATCACATACATATGATAGAATAAGTATTGCAAGTATTATCGATATGAGTTATACTTACCACTAAATTTTGGGAAATCAGTTCTTTTGCGTAATATATGTGGTTTATTTGTTATAATATTTTTTTAATATCTTGCAATATATATTTATTATCTGTAATGTTAAAGAAATATTTGTTAATAAAATAAGAAATTGAGAATACATTAAAATGTGTTCCCAATTACTTATTTTATTTGTAGATGTATTTTTACATGTATATTTTCATTATATCGTGAATAATCGCATCATTACTGTTTACTATTCAATCTTGGATTTATGTATATATTGTTAATGTAATATAAATGTTAATTACATACAATAATAATAAAAATATAAAATATAGATATGAAATGTATTCTTAACTCACCATTTTTCACTAAAATGATTGCTGGGTAGCTTCGTTTATCGCTATATGTAGCTTTTGTAACATTTTTTTTAATCGTAATTTGGTTAGATGTGCACACATGATAAATATCATCATAGAACTTTACTAACGTATACATATTTAAATTTATTGTATGTATAATATATTATTTTTATTGTATGTAATTAACATTTATATTACATTACCAATATACATATACGTAAATCCAAGATTAAATAGTAAACAGTAACGATGCGATTGTGTACGATATAATGAAATTATAGATGTAGAAATACATCTACGAATATATATTGGTAATGTATTAAATGTTAATGACATCCAATAATAATAATAATATAAAA